GGAGAGGGAGAGGGAGAGGGAGAGGGAGAGGGAGAAAGGGAGAGAGACCAGTCCCTTTAGGACTGCAGTGGGGCAACAAACCAAACAAAACACATAAACCTAGAGGACTAATTGACAATGGGTATCCCTTGATAGCAGAACAATATATCAAAGATTCAGGTAGATCTTTTATCAGCTAGATATTTTCTGAACATCAGAGGTGAATGGAGTTGGGGCAGACAGAAAAGCCCAATGTGCAAAGTGATACCTGGGTCTGAGTAATAAGTGAGAGGTGGCTACTCAAAGTATTAGTTGAAATAGGCTTAGACTTTCATACAGCACCTGGACAGTCTCCTGTAACTATCCTTCCACAGTGGTCTAGGGAATGTCATGTGCTAAGTTAATGCACATAGTCTCCTCGACCCTTTGCTGCTGCTTGTATACCTTCAGGTGCTTCTGCACTCGCTCATTCTTCTCTGCCTCAGTAGTACGTTCCTCCTCACTGCGGTCCTTGGCCATAGCATCAGCCCGCAGGTCAGCACTGGCTTCTGCCCCATTCTCATCTTGTTCATCCTGCTCATTCTCTGCAGGCTCTGCGACATGAGGTGTGCTCATGGCAGTCTTCAACTCAGCACGAGTCTTCTCCAAGTCTTCCTGTACCATTTGTGCCTGTCCCGTGACAGAGAGAAAGACCAGCAGTTAGACCACGTAACCTATGGCAATCTGTGCATGCCGTAAGTACCTGGCTATAGGCAGATACCAAATGGGTAAATTATTTCATTTGCCCGATTCCTAGTTTCCACAGCTGTATAATGGAAGCATTTGTATCAACTTCCCTAGGGGTATTGGGGAATTTGAGGAAATATCTGAGAAAGCATTGAACACCTTCTTCCACTACGTCTGCTGTATAGCAAAGCTGGAAGTTCAAAACAGCCCAAGCCTAAGGGATCTAAGAGGTTCCAACATATTCATGTGGTACCCCTTCCCAATGTTTTGCTCTGGTGCTGTGTCTTACCTTCTGTTGCCATTCCACAGCCTCACTCTCCTTCTTCTGTCGGGCCATCTCTAGCTGAGAGATCCGAGCTGTCAGCTCTGCCATTTCTGAAGCCTACAGATAAATTAGAAGCCTGTGAGAGTGAGGCATCCTGGTCCTCAGGGCCCAGGTGTCTTCAACCACAATTCCCTTGGAGAACCATTTGGAACTTGCTACTCCACTTGCTTGCTGCATTGGCAGGTCTTTTAACTGTTATTACTCCACTTCAGTCCTGTCTTCCTCACCTAGGACTTCATAAATCATAGCTCCTCTCCTAAACTGTAGGCCTCACAAAGATGATATGTCATTTCTGTACCTTCCTCATATCTGTCCCTCCTCCTCCTCCTCCTCCCCTCTCCTTCCTCTCTCATTTATGCATGCAGTTGAGGCCTCAGTAAAGCTTTGGAGATGACTGCCTGAACTGCCAACCCTTTTCTGCGATCCTGAGATGCGCAGGTCTCTGATAAGGCTCTTTCCAGGACAAGTGAAGAACTTAAATGTCTTACAGTGATCTGAACAAGGGAAAAAAGCTTTTGCACACCTTCACACCTTGGGCAAATTTTCCATAACACCTTCTTTTTGAGAGCTAGGTTTTAGTTCCCTCAACTCCCACTGCAAATAGTACAAAGGCAGAGCATATGTCAAGGAATTTAGACTACAGGTTAACTTCTGAGTCACAGAACCCTTGGGAATTGTGATGAAAATGTGGGCACCCATCCTCCTCCCCCCAAATAATGCATGAACACACAGTTTTGCATACGATTTCAAGGAACAAACCGAGAAGTGGGTTCTAATCCTTGTTCACATACAACTGTGTGACCTTTGGCAACTCTCTTAACCTCACTAAGACCTAATTTCCTTATCTGGAAATATTATCTCACATGGAGGTTGATCCCATAGGGTTGCTGGTAAAAAGAAATAAAACTGTAAGGAAAAAGTAAGCATGACTAGCATAGTAACACACAGCAGCTACTAATTAAGCACGAGTTCCTTCATTTCTCACTCCTTTTGTTGGGTTACCAGCTCAGATCTCCATGGGTTAAGAAAATGAATAAAGCCAGGCACAATGGTGCATACCTGTAGCCTGTAATCCCAGCACTGAGGAGGCTAAGGCAGGAGGATCACCATGATTTTGAGGATAGCCTGGACTACGTAGTGAGTTCAAGGCTAGCCTAACTACATAGCAAGACCTTGTGTCAAAAAATGAATGGAAGGAAGGAAGGGAGGGAGGGAGGGAGGGAGGATAGGAAAAATAAAGTTTAGGAAATACTGTTTGCAAAGGTCTCCAGGCCACAACAATGACCCCTCAACTTGCTTCTGAATGAGCTGTTAGGGGCTTGTGGAATGGAAACCTGCTAGAAAGAGCCAGCCCTTCAGGCAGAAGTAGCAATAAATAGGCAGACAGACCAAGGACAAAGAGGTCCCACAATCTCAGGCCATTGTGCAGCTTTACCAGTTGTTCTTGAGTCTTCTTCTGGTCCCGGGAGGCCTGCAGCAGAGCCTCCTTAGCCTCTTCAGCCTCTTGACGCTCCTTGGCCAGCTTTTCAGCCTCACTCTGGGCACGCTTCCGTTCCTGCTCAAGTTCCATGGCTCTGCGGGTCTGTTCTTCCAGTTCTAGGCAGAAAAAGAAGGGAGAGGGCAGTGAAGGGCACAAGGATGGAGATGGCACACTATCTTCCTGGAAATGCTCAACCCCATGGCACAACTGGCAGAAGGTTGTGAGAACTCTTCTCCCATCCGTCATCTGTTCTTTGGCCATATCTGTATTATATCATCTGGATCTACAGCTCAGGTAGAAAGGTCTCTAGCTCACACAGTCAGGATTTAGGGAAACTCAATTGCTACAATAACTTTAAGCCTTACCTTGCTGAGCCTTCTTAGTCTGTTCCTCAATCTGCTTCAGCTTCTCCATCAGTTCTTCTTTCTCCCGTTCAATCTTCTCCTTCTCCTTTTCTGCCATCTCACGCTTCTTCTTCTCATTTTCCAGCAGGGCACTAGGAAAAGAAGGGAAGATGGAACAAACAGCAAAGCTACACAAAATCTGAGGATTCCCAGGCTTCCCTCAGTCCCCACTTTTCCAACACACCCAGAGTGTGTGAGCTTCGACCACTTTCCCTTACCTCCACATCCTTGCCTACCTATCACAGCCCCACATAGGGTGATATTGCTCATGGCCTAATCAGTTTGCCCCCAAGTCAGGAAACCCAATTTGGAATCCCTGAACTGTGAGAAATCCACTGAGTGACCCAAGACGTGTCACTGCTTTACTCTTGTTCTCAGTTCCTCTATCTGTAAAATGGCATATATGTGCTGCTCTGTCTGTCCTGGGAAGTTATAGCTCCATATTAGGATGGTATGCTTCAGGTTATATATCTCTATGGTTAGGTCTAACTTTCCCTACTGTAAAGCCTGATTGTAGGCTCCTTTCCCCAAGACTGTATTGGAAATCTAGAAATAAGTATTTTATCTTGCTCTAGCACCTCTTCCAGAAAGCCTGCTTATACCACGTATAGATGTTTTTTCTCCTTTTGAGCCCTCAAAATATTGGGTATATACCCCTCTTTCCATCCCTATTCTTTCTCTCCATAGCATTCTTGGGGGGGGGTACTGGGGATCAAACTCAGGTCTCCTTAGCATTTTTTACCATATCAAAACTGCATCATTTATTTATGTTTGTCTCCTCCCACTAGAATGATAGTATCAAGAGAACAGAAACTTTTGGTCTATTTTCATTACACAACAAATATTTATGAAGCGAATAAATGGCACAGACTTTATACCTTGAAAGATATATTTTACACACTCACACACACACACACACACAGATTTTCTTTCCCACTAGACCATGAAGACCTACAGGGCTGGTTCCTGCAAAATTCAGCTCAGTGAACTAACTGCAATCTTGATAATTTTTTTAAATAAATGTGAATGTTAGTATCTAAACACTCATATATGGAGTCATTTCTAGTCTAATAGGTAAGAAACCTACCAAGGTTCCAAACTATCTCACTGTCTTTCTGTCCGTCCATCTGTCTGTCTGTCTCTTCCTCTCTTTCCCTTTCACTGTAGTGGGGATTGAACCTAGGATTGTCCACTGAGCTACACCCCCAGCTATCCCCAGTCTCACTAGGTCACTAAGCTGCCCAGACTAGACTCTAACTTGTGAGCCTTCTATCTCAGCCACCCAGAGTGCTGGGGTTACTGGTGTGTGCCACCACATCAAGATGGTTCCAAACTTTTTATAATAGAGTATCTACTACAGCAGTACTCCTCAAACCCTAATGTGCATAGGAATCAACTGGGATCTTTAAAAATAAATTATTATGGTAAAGTTCATATAACATATTTTAAAGTGAACAATTCAGTACATCTACAATTAGTTAGTACATCTACAATTTTGTTCAACTACCATCTTTTGCTAGATCCAAAATCATCACTCCAAAGTAAAACCTCATACCCATTACGAAGTTTCTCCCCACCTCTCAAACCCTAACAACGACCAAGCTACCTTCTGTTTGTACAGATTTTTTTTTATTGTGGACATTCATATACATGGAACTATATGTAAAGCCTAATATTTTCTAGGTGTGACATACTGTAGCATGTATGGCTGAAAAATATTCTACTGTGGTTTGGATATAGTTTCTTGTAAAGGCTCACATATTAGAGGCTTATTATCCAATGTAACAGTACTGAAGGGTGGTGAAAACTTCATGAGGTGGGGCCTACTGGGAGGTGATTAAATTATTAAGAGAACAAAGCTCAGAAGTGAGTGGTTTGTGTTTCCTAGGACTGCATTAGTATTTGTGAAAGAGGGTCGTTGTAAGTAAGCCTGGCACCTACTCTGAATCCCTCTCTTCCTCATGTTCTACTCTGTTCTTGCATGTGCTGCCACTATGTAATGATGCCCTTTGCCATGTTATGATACACTTATAGCTCTTACCAGATGTGGGTGCCTGACCTTGGATTTCTCAGCCTTCAAAACCATAAGCCAAAATAAACCTCTTTTCCTTGTACAATATCCAGCCTCAGGAATTCTCTTCTACCAATAAAAAATAGACTAAGATATATTCCATTACATATATTTACGATTTGTTTATCCATTGATAAACATTCAATATTTTGGCTATTGTTAATAATGTTCCTATAAACATGTGTGTATATATATATTTGCTTGAGTACTCACTTTCAATTACTTAGGGGTACTTACCTAAGAGTGGGATTGGAGGATTATATAGTAATTCTATGTTTAAATTTTTGAAAAACTGTGTCACTGTTTCAAACTTTTTATATCCATACCAGAAATGTATGTGGATTCCAAATTTTCTACAACCTCACCAACTTATTTCCAGTTTTATTTTTTGTGTCTACACTGATAGGTATGAAGTAGTATATTACTGTTCTCCTTTGCATTTACCTAATGACAAAGGATATTTACATGTGTCTGTTGGCCACTTGCATATCTTCTTTGAAGAAATGATCACTGGGATCTTAAGATGCAGATTTTGATCACTGGTCTGGGGCAGGGTCCTAGATCTTGCTTTTCTAATAAATTCTCAAATTGATGATGATGATACTGAGCCTCAGATTACACTTTGAGTAGCAAGAGACTATACTGCAAATACAATGAATGGGCTTTGCAGGGACTATTCTGGGGCTCTGCCCATTTCTTCTAAAAAAAATACCCCTATAGAATGCAGGCCTACATGTGCATAGAACTCTCTATTACTGCCGCTAGACTAGTCAGCAGGGAACAACCTAGAGTCTATGTAGCATACCAATGGCTTGAAGTTCATAGACAACAGGGAACTATGGAATGCCCGTCCATCCTATATGTTTCTGATAGTTGCTTCCCAGGAACAAGGAAGTCTAGATCTGAGAACGAATGCAGGAGCTATCATCCCTGCAGCTCACTCACTCCTAAGTCCTAGGTTGACTTCACAATCTGCATCTGAAGACTCAGAACCTTTGAGCAGCTCCCTTAACCCAGCAGTAACCTCCACTCCAGGCTCGCATTTCAGCTCTGTAGCACCTACCGCTCCATTTGCTTCTGGTGCTTCTCCGCTCGGGCCTGTGCCTTCATCTGCTGCACTTCAATGGTGTCAGGCTTGCGGCGGCGCATATATAGCTCGTGGTTTCCCATGCACAGGGCTAAGATCCTCTTATTAATCCTCAGCCGAGGAGCATAAAAGACAAAGTCCTGGTGGAAAAACAGCAGTCAGAAAGAGTTCGGGAGAATGTCTACCTTCTGAAAAGCTAAATCAAAAGCACTGGGAAGATTGTTTATCCAGTCCTTTCCATTACAGATAGGAAAACTAATTAGAGTGGTGAAGTGATCTGCTCAGGGTCAGATGCCAGGTTAGTGGTAGACTAAGCCTAGAACTCAGGTTTCTTGACTCTGCAATCAGTGCAGTCCACCAAACCATAATACCTTTCAACCTTTACTTACAAAAGGCATCCTAAAACACGCTCAACAACTGAAGGATCAGAGCTGTCTTTCTCTACTAATTAGATATGATATTTAGTTTTTTTTTATGGGTACCGGGGATCAAACTCGGAACCTTGTGCTTGCAAGGCAGGTGCAGAACCACTGAGCTAAATCCCTAGCCCGTGATATTGAGTATTAGAGGACCTTTTTTAGAAGCCACACAATCTCTGCATACTACCCTAGTGGGTGCAATATGAGTGACTGAACTGTTGATGTAATATCCAAAAAGCATGTCCTTGATTCAGACCTTTAAATGCTTTTTAGAACAAGACAGTCTATAAATACATTTATAAATACAAAACAGGGATTGTCCTGGTTGTTGTTTGCTAAATAAGCCCTTTATCTCATCTGGCTTTGTTGCTTACCTTTTTCTGATGAAAGATATTGAGCAGAGCAGCAATAAAAAACACACAAGAAAATCCAGTGAGTTTGAGTTAGTTATTCCCAATACCACTGGACCAAGATCATCAGCTGATGGGCTAACCACTACCTATTCTGCCAAAGCCAAACTGCTATCATTTCATATAGCTTGGGGTACAATGGAAAGAACACAGGCTCTGAAGGTCAAATACCTAGGCATAAATCATAGCTGTACTGTTTTTAGCTATATGATCATGGGCAAATCACTCCATCTCTCTGAGCATGAATTTCACCAACTTAATGTGTATACCCACATAATCATGTTGTTGAGCCTTTAAGGAGACAACACATATAAAGTAACTAGTAGAGGAAGTTCAGACACCTTTAGGCTGAAGAAGGTTGAGCCCTCATAAAATGGTTCAGGCTCAACAAGGCCATTAGCCCTTGTTGGACACATGTAGATCCTCATGAAAAGTAGATTCTCATGTAAGTTTCACCAGATAGAAGTTTCTATCTTATCCTCAATCACTAGCTTTCTAGTCTTGTTAGCCACAGGAGACTAAGTAGGTAAGAAGGGTGGTGAACACATTAAAGGAAGATCTGGACTCAACGCATTTTCTTGGTTTTTAGGTTGCTCTGGAGAGAAGTCAGAGAAGGCAGCCATAAAGTTATACCAAAAAGCAAATTTGGATTTGGACTTCTTCTGTTACCACAATTAAAGATAAAAAACATGTAAATGTAATCTACTTTCTAGGACTGAGGGGCTGAGAAGAGACATACTCTGTTTCTACCACAGAGTCTCAAAATAGCAGAAGACAATAGTTAAGAAGCAGCATCTAGGACTGCCTGCAGTCTCTGCTCTCCCTTAGAGAGAGAGAGACCTGGGTCCCATTGAGACACAGCTAGTAGAATGGCACCAGATACAGAATGATTCTTAGCCATTTCTTAGTATTTGGTATTTCCTTCCATATCACTTTCCATTTATTACCTCCCATACATGTATATATGCACATGTATACACATATGAACACAATTCAGAAAAGGAAGAGACAAATACTATGACATGATTGTACTTAGCATAATCCAGGCCTTGGTGAATACCTGTTATGATCAAAGAGAGGAGTCACTCACCGGGGCCTTTTTGTCAATAGGCTTGATGACAAATTTCTTGTCATTGAAAGAGATGTTCCTGATTTCACTCCAGGGGAAACCAATCTTGGGAGTCAGTCTGTAGCAGTGGAAAGCAAAAGCATCAGGACAAGGTAAAGATAAGAAAGGCATAGACCGCCAGGCGTGGTGGTGCACGCCTGTAATCCCAGCACTTGGGAGGCTGAGGCAGGAGGATCACTAGGCTTGATGACAAATTTCTTGTCATTGAAAGAGATGTTCCTGATTTCACTCCAGGGGAAACCAATCTTGGGAGTCAGTCTGTAGCAGTGGAAAGCAAAAGCATCAGGACAAGGTAAAGATAAGAAAGGCATAGACCGCCAGGCGTGGTGGTGCACGCCTGTAATCCCAGCACTTGGGAGGCTGAGGCAGGAGGATCACTCTGTGACAAAAAACTTCTTTCTTGAGGAGGTAGACCCATTACCAGTGTCATCACATGCCATGAGATCAAATGCCAACATTAACGTTACACAAAGGACCTCTTGCTACCACAACCAACCTATTATTCCTTATTCCAATCCCTTGAGATTTTTTTTCCACTTTGGGTGAGGCACGTACCTTGTAAAAGTCCTTTAAAGCATCCCTAGCCTTATTTTACTGAGATACTTCTAATGCTATAAAAATTAGAAAGAAGATAATGAATTCCAAGGTAATAATCTATTCATCTCCATCCTCACCAAGAGTAGAGCAAGTAAGATGAGGCCACACAAAAGAATTATAGGCCAAAGGCACTTAATCATCACATGGGACTTGGACCTATTTACAAATCCCGACAAGTTAGATTCCAGGCCAGCACTGTCTTAAAAAGTATACATATTAATAATATTAATAGAATGTATAATAATATTCATAGTATTTGCAATGTGTCACATTTTAAATTCTATAGTAGTCACATGAACAAAAGTAAAAAACGGGTGAATTTAAATATAATACAGTTTAATTAACTCAATATACCCCAAGTACTATAATTTAAATATATAAATAAGTATTTTAAAAATACTGAGGCATTTTACATTTTATTTTTCACATTAAGTCTTCAAAGTCTAGTGTGTAGTTATGTTTATATATAGCATGTCTCAGTTCAGAGTAGCCACATTTTAAGAGTTCAACAACCATATGTGAGTCATGGACACCATAGTGAACAGTACAAGTCTAGGCAATACAGGATTTATAGGCTTGAGGGAGGTTGTACAATTATCTGGGCCCATCTAAATTAGCTGGAAAAAGAACTAAGGTGAGATTCGAGGCATAGTCCTACTACATGGTGAGTGGTGACCCCTAGGTATCAGAGTGACCCAAATAAACTAACAGAAGTCTGAGCTGTACCTGTCATTCTGCTCATAAATGTTGAGACCCAGGGCATCCACTCCTAGCCACAACTCTGAGCCTTTCTTGTTCTTGATGCTGAAGTAGTTCACACCATACATCTCCAGGTCTTGAGCAATCTTCAGATATTCCAGAACAGCATCCTCTCTAAAACATACAAGATAAAGAACAGGGTGTCACAGAAGGGAATCTCTGAATCAGACTGAGGGAAACAGAAAAGTATACTTGCTATGTGTGTTTGACAAGGATCTTGATATCAGAAATGGGAGAAAGGGTAGAAAGTAAGCAGAAAATGGAATAGAGCAAACATGATTTTTGTCAAGTAAAATTTGCTGAAAGGAACTTAAGGTCTGAGGTACTCAAGAAGAATAAAGGTGGGCTGATCCTTACTGGCCTCTGGTGTAACAGTGGCCACACACACTATTTTCTCCATATTATTCATTGTAATGGACTCTTACAACTTCTTAGCAGAACTTAGGCAGTGGGTAGTGAGAGCAAAGTATTGGTTTCTCAACTAGACTCCCCCAAATACTTTGTAATGTTTAAAGAGCTCCCTTTCCCATTTCATTTTCGGGAGGAGCCACCTGGTGGCTCTGATGCTCTCTGGGGATCCAAAGGGCCTCTCCATTTCTTTGTGGTCAAAATTGGACTCCCAGATAGTTGTCATACTCACCAAAACAAACAAACAAACCAACAAACACAAAAAACAGTCATTTAATGCCTCTGGTTTTACCTTTCTTTAAGTTCCAGCATCATCCTTGTCTCTCTTTTTCTAACATCCACTAATGTACCTAAATCATTTGCTTCTTCTCCCTAGAACCTACTTTTATTCTTTTACAAGAATAGTGGGGCTGGGCCAGGGATTTAGCTCAGCGCAGCGGTTCGGTGGCCTGCCTTGCAAGCACAAGGACCCAAGTTCAATCTCCGGTACCAAAAAAAAAAAAATAGTGGGGCCTACAGCTGCTGATATGGGCTTACCTGAGCATGCCCCGATGTTCTTCATGCCAGACTTGAATCCGCTCCTCCCACTGGTCCTTGTTGAGTTTGTGCTGCTCCAGGACTCTGGAAAGACAATGCATAGTGTTTAGTTTGTAACTGACTATGTGAAATAGGAAGAAAAGAGCTAAAGGTATAGGGAAAGTAGGAAGGGTAGGGGAAAGGAAATAAGGGAAAAGAAAAAAATATGAGAAAATGAAAAAATGGAAATAAAGTGTTTGTA